ATATATGCGCATATATATATATATATATATATATATATATATATATATGCATATAGATTATATATATTAATGTGTATGTACATATTTACCCATATATATATATACATATACATATACTTGTATACAATTGGTGTATATATATATATATATATATATATTGAAACATGCGCGCGCGTGTAAAATACGCACATATAGCGCGCATTACCCATATATGCGCGCGCGCGCGCGCGTACACACATACGTTACGTGAACTATACGCTTGTGCACAATATATGGCGCCTATGTTGCTAGAAATATCTATTAATGTATTGTTTTACATATATGTATGCGAATTGAGATAGATTAAAAATTCTTTTTTGCAATATTTGTATAATATTTTTATATTAAGTGTGTATATGTGTTTACATGAAACATATGCGTATAGCAATTATCCGTGAAATGTACAAATTCCGTCTTCATTTTGTTCTCCTACTTGTTATCTAACCTTATATTACGCACAGATTTGGTGAGTTGTGCATTTTGATAGTGTTGTAGAACTTATTTGAATTTGTTACTATATTCTTTTTTATTTTGAAAAGTTACAAAGTTCATAATGTACATACTTATTGGTGAAACGGTAATATCGATCGAAACTATGATTTTCATTTCGGTACTCAATGTGTATTTACGACATCACTCGTATAAATTAACTTACGATATAATGTGCGCATATAACTTTCCATATTTTATTTGATGATTGACGAATTTATATTATTCTATGAATAATTGTTGTAATAAAAGAAATTATTGTAATAATATAAACCAAAAACATAATGTGTGTGTGTATATATATATATTGAANATATATATATATATATATATATATATATATATATATTGAAAAATCTTTAGTTTATTATCAATAATTCATATATATGCCATTAATTTATTTATAATTTAAATGATACAATTATATGATCAGAACTGTTTTATATAATTAAACTAATATTATTAATAATGATTTTAAATCATAAATTGTAAGTTACTAATCTTAATAGATTCTTTTGAACAATAATAAGTTTCATAAGTTTAATGAAATAGATAATATCTTATAAATACATTTTATAAATTATACTCATATGATTATTTTACTTGATGCAGAATTATAAAATTGTGAAATTGTAATAGTAAAATTAACTATTTATAAAGTAAGAAATTGTGAAAAAATTAAATACTGTATATGATTAGATATATTATACTATACTATATAAGATTAGAAGAAATAATAAAAAATGATAATCATATTATTTATTTAATAAATATACAGAAATATTTCTAAAAACAAAAAATATATATATATATATATATATATATATATATGTGCGCGCACGCGTATATACATATACGAATATATATATCATATAATATAAAAAATCATATAAATTTGTAAAGATTATTATATAAACAAATTACAAATAGTAAGATATATTGACTATATTATATTTAATATCAAATTTAATATCCATATATATCATAAATGAATGTTAAAATAATTTCAAATAATAAATAATATAAATTATTTTATTTTTATATTATATATATTAATAGTTTTGCGTAAGAAATTAAAAATTTTTGCTATAAAAAAGAGAAAATTATTGAAAAAAATAATATATTAATACTTATATATTAAGAATTATAATTATCTTTATTTCTATAGAGATATATATTATTTATTTATTAATTAATTTATATTTTTTTCATATGTTTATATGTATATTATATGTTTAAATATTTAAAATTACAAAATAAATTATTTGCAAAATACTATTGTTATATAATTTTTATAATGTAATCATAAATAGATAAAAACAAAAATGCAATATTTTTTAAAATTATTTTTAATTTTTAGTTAAATTTTCCTACTTTTGTTGTATTTTCATAAAAAATAATTTCATTTTTTAATTAACTTAATACTTTTAGATGTCCATTATAGAATTATTTTTTTTATCATTATAATTATATAATTATTGATACTAATTATAATCAGAAATATATATATATATATGAATTTAAACATATTATATATTTAAAATTGGGATATTTTACAAACTACTATATTATTATAGCACTTTTATAATTTTATATATTTTATTTTATAGAATAATCCAAAGAATTGTTTTATACATGAAAAATTATAGTATATTATAGTAAACTATATTATAGTAATTATAATATAGTTTTATTGAGAAAAAATATATATTGAGTTAAACTTTGTAAATTTATTAATAAATAAAAATATATAAGAGAAAAGTAATAGTAAAGAAATATGGAACATAATTTCATATAAATATTCTGTGATTTTTTTTCTAATAATTTTTTCTTGTACTAATTTTAAAGATATAGTTATACTGAATTGTGTGAAACATACAAATATATTAATTTAATAACTAAAATAATTTTTCATTATTATAGATCTCCACTGGCATGGAGCTAGGAGCACATTGATAGTGATAGTCTACAAGGTGAGTAATTTTATTTTGTAACATTCATCATTTAATAAATAAGTTTTAATTATAAAATAAAAATAATATGTATAAAATAAAAATAAAATATATTATGAATATGTTTAAAATTTAATTTAAAATTTATTGTGCTTTTAATTAAAAATAACAAGAAAAAATTTTATATTTTATAAATAGTACGCTTTCTTAATTAAAATAGCAATAAATTAATGTAAAATGAAAAATAAATTACTGTTTAATATAATAAATGTTTAAAAAATTATATTAATTTTATTAATATAAATGTTAATATTATAATTTATATATAAGCAATAATAAATTTATAAATAATATTTCTTAGATCTTGGTTTCTATGCATTGCCTGCCAAAGAAGAACTGAGCCCAATGTTTCCACACAATTCTAGTTCACATGAGATTTCTACAGAAACAAATGCCTTCGTACAAAATTCCATGGTAAGTATTAGTTATAAATTATAATATTTATTTAATTTAGTTTTTAAATATTTTAATTTAATCTTTTTTTTTAATCACACATTAATTCATTTAATATTATTCTTCTGAATAAAAATTGAAAAATCAAATAAATATAAAATGATACATATTTATTATTGTTAATATAATGTACAAGGATTATGCTATTATGAAGTTTTTTGAAGAACAATAAGAATTTCAAATATCTTATATGAATATATAAAAAATAGTCTAAGAGAATATTTAAAAGTTCAAATGTTATAATAATCAAAAAAAAAATTTTTTAATTATTTTTTACACAATCTAATATAATTTGCATATTTTTAAAATTATATTTCAAATTATATTTTTATAAAGTAATTATATTACATATATTTTTTCCTTATATAAAAGTATAAAATATATAATTTCATTTATAAAAACTTTAAAACATATTTTCTCATTATTCAAACTTTTAAAATATTTTAAATTTAATTCAAGAAAGATTATTTTAAAATAAATTTCTTTATTAAGATAATTATTCAAATATCTATTTTTAATTAATTATTGAAGCAATTCTTTAANTAATATTTATAAATATTTAAAAATATAATTTATAATTTATATAATTAAAATTTTATTCTATTATCCTCTATAATTTAAATATAAAATATAGATAAATATATAAATATAAAAATATATATAAAATTGGTTAAAATAAATGTATATGAAATTAATAAAAATTGTTTAATAAAATAATTTATATTTATATACAAAATTATATACATAAATTATATACAATAATATATAATT